AGTTGGCAACATAGGTCGTAGTTAGTGAGTATAATAGTGTCAATTGGCCACAAATTTTGTAATTGGAAATTGTAATAGTAATAGTCTGCTTCAAAAATTATATTTGTTGATTATAATATCATCACTTGGTTGCAAAGGCCATGGTTTGAAATCTGTAATTTTAGTTGGCCACATAAGCCTTGGCTGGGGGTTGTAATAGCTTCAATTATTCACATTGGTTGTAGTTGGTGATTACAAAAGCAATAATTTGACATAATAGATGTAGTCGGTTGTTGGACCCCTTCCCTAAGAACAAGGTTATAGATTTACATTGGATACCACATTTATCCACATACAACATAAAATAAAATACAAGTGCTTGGAACAACTGTGTATTCTAGCTACGACAGTCCTAAACAATGGTTTACGGTGGCATGTGGTGATGACTGATGGTGGTCGACGGTGGTCAGCGACTACAGAAGTTGGAAGTTATCATCTGGGCTTCAATACACGTTATAGGTTACAACCACATTTGGCATGCATCATTTGAAAATAGTGGTTGCTAGTGGCAGGAGGTAGGCATTTGTCGACGATGGCCGACGAACGGTGATTGCCGACAGTTGGCAGCTACAAAGGTTCAATGTTATTGTTGGGTCTTCAATTTTGTGTTATATATTATAGCCGTATTCGGGATACAACGTAGCAAGCATGGATGGCATACGACGGTGAATAGAGAAGGCGACTTGTGGTGGTCCAGGGTTATGAATGTTGGAAGTTATGGTCTACTCTTCAGCTCATACTAAGCTTTAGAGTTAATACAAATATAGATATATTATACATATATTATAGATATCACATATTATACATTCTGATATGATACGTTATCGATCTCTAACAATACATCAATAAATTAAAATTAAGTCAAACCCTCGATTACACTTATTAGAGAATAAAATTGAATTAAGTTATCTTTATAAATGATTAAATTTATTTTAAGATTAATATAATATAAATTATTTATTAATGATTCTAGGGCTGTAAAAAAAGCTCGTTGTTCACGAACAGTTCGTGTTTGATTCGTTCAATAAGTAAATGAGACGAACGTGAACACATTTTTTTCGTTCGGTTAGTTAAACGAATCAAACACGAATAATGATGTGTTAGTTCGTGTTAGATTCGTTATTGTTCGAAATATAAAATAATTTAAAAATATATATATAAAATTTATGATATTTTAAAAAATTAAATTTTATAAATTATAATATATAATAATATATTAATATACTATATAAGTAATATACTAATATAGATATTATAAATTTATATAATATAAGTTATATAATTAATATAATATATTATTTATATATATTAATATTAGAGATGTCAAACTGACTCGTTGTTCGCGAACAAGTCGTGTTTGGCTCGTTCGTTAATAAACGAACACGAATAATTTTGAAAAAGAGCTTATTTCAAACAAACATAATTTCAAATGAACGAAACACGAACACAAGCTCTATTCATTCATGTCGGATCTGTTTACACCCTAATATAATTCTTTATTATTTTAATTTTTTTCAGTTTTCCCGACAATTTTATTTCAATCTTATCCTACTGTGTGGACTGCGTGACTCCATCAAATAGGCAAGCCATAGTCCACGCCATTCGCCGCGCTCCAAATCTTAAAACATTAGTATTTTTTGTAATATAAGATGTATTTTATTTTTAATTAATATATCTGTACATTCGAGCAAAGAAAATAACACTGTTTCAAAGCAGACATATTAGCCAATAAATTTAATTAGACTTATAAAATGAGAACTATGCACATAATTTGACTTGTATAAATTTTAATGAAATTTGCATGCATATCACATATTTCTTATGTATTTACATATCTGAAATCATATTTATATTTATAAAACATTGGCGTCATATCACGAACTAATGCTATTTTTTATGTGACATGAAATACGAGCGATTTGCACGTAGATACGAATGTTTAGGCATGAGATTTATGTAAATGACCCTAAAATTTAACATATTTAATTGAACGGAAAAAAAAAAATTATGATTTTAAGGAACATATCATTTCTCTCTAAGCCCTAAATCAAATTAAATCAATATTTAATTAGGAATATATTATTTATACTTTATCTAATTATTTGTTTGTAAAAATTGACCCGTAGTTTTAAAAATGGAGAATTGCATGTTACTGAGAAGGTGTGATAGATTTGAAAGAAATTTGATCTGATTCTTAATTAATTTAAAATTCTTGATAATTTACGAGTTAAATTAGGAGTTAGTATTTTAATGTGAGCCTCTTTCGGAAATGTACTTGGAGTCCATTTTAACTCAAACATTTTTTTTATCTTTTATAAGAGAATTTAATGATTAAAATTTTTCGAGATCAACAGACTAGCAAAGTACTCATTATTGGAGATAGGGGATCATAATTTAGTCACATGTGGTCTACCGTTGCTTTCGGATCGAGAAAATCCTCCGTCAGACACTCCAAGTGTAAATCAGGATTTTTAGGGCTAGACTAGCGACTAGGCGCCGGACTTAAGTGTCTAGGCACCCAAATGCCCACTTGGATGGTCGAAACGAAGCCCCTAGAAGTTTGGCACGAGTTTCTGACATTTAGATGTCAGACTGGGTGTCTGGGCATCAGTCACGAGCACCTAGGTACCCAAAACAACTAAAAAACAAGCATTTTCCCGAGTCCCTAGAAAGTTGACATCACCTGGGTGGCGCCTAGGCGCTAGGGTCATGACACCTAAACATCCACTTTCAGAACATGATTTTTCATGATTTTGATGTTGATTTGAAATCGATGCACATTGGACTTAAATGGTAGTCCTTGTGTTTGAGGAGATATGTGTAGAAGGATGTAATGTCTTGGGTTTAGCCTCATTTGACATGTCCTAAATGCCCTCCATTAGCCATTTTGGCCTAATCAAATGTGTACTTTTGAGATTTGCATGGGATAGTTGGTATTTTAATAACAGTGATCTCGGGAATGAGCTTCAACAACGCTAGGAGCTCAGGCTTGAGAACTCTATAAGTTTTTAGGAGTTGACTAATTATGAGCTAAGAATCATCAAAAACTTTGATTTTCCCGATGTCCATCTGAATAGCCAACCAAAGTTCTAAAATCATACCCTCATATTCGACAACATTATTAGTACATGGTTCCATTAAATTGTAAGATTATCAGAGGATGCTACGATCGGGCGATATAAACATCAACCCAACCCCTAATTGTATTGGGAGAAATCCCAATGTACCTTCCTTTAAGGAAGATGCCTCATCAAAATACAACTCTCTTTATGGGGGATCAACGACCATCAAATACTCATTGGGAAAATCATCATTAATAGGCAAATCTGTCAGGATTGGGAGAGTTGTTAAAAAAATAGCTAACACCTTCCACTTAACTCGTTGAGGGACATCTAAAATGTCAAACTAGGACAATATCATAGACCATCTGGTCAACCATCCCACTAGAGCGGGACGAGTCATCAGTTACTCTAAAGAGTTTATCATCGATATCAGATCAATATGGTGTGAGAGCATATAATGTCTCAACTTTTGAACTAAAAATATCAACGCCAAGCAATGAATTTCGATCGATGAATAATTCAATTCAGCAAGAATGAAATGCTAAATAAGATAGTACAAAGAGACCTCTTTCCCATCCTCATTCACCTGGGTCAACAAGGCTCCTACCGGCTCATCGAGTGCGGAGATATACGAAATGAGAGATTTCTCTAGGAGGAGAGCTGCTAACATTGGAGGATTCAACCAATATCACTTAATATCACAGAAAAAATTTAACATGCTTTGTCCCAATGGAAACAAGCATCTTTCTTGGTCAATGGAAAAAAATGTTAACATCGACCAGAAAGGTTCGAAATAACCTGCTAATAAATGCAAGCTTTCTTTGAAGGGAACATGATCACGTCAGACTCATATGAGTTCCATCTCTATGATGGATTTAATCTTACCGGGGTCAAATTTAATGTCCCTATGACGGACAATGAAGACCTGAAACTTCATGGAGGATACACCAATGACACGCTTCAATGAGTTCAACTTCAGATCGTATTTTCTAAGGTGCTCAAAAACAAATTTAGATCTGATAGAAGACCCTCTTCAGAATGACTCTTGATTACTACATCATCAAAATAACACTAAAATTGGTGATTTATCAAGTCTTCTAAGATGTGTGTCGTAATGCGCTGAAAGGTAGCCCTGACGTTCTGCAATTTGGAAGGCATGACCCTATCGCAAAATATGTTTTGGAGTACGAAAAGCCATATGTTGTTCTTAATCTTGGGCCATCCGTATTTTGTTATAACCGGATAACCATGAAGGAGAACAACGCATGAGAGGAGGCAACATCAATCATAAGCTCCGAAATCATCAAAGGAAAATCGTTCTTTGGGTAGGATTTATTCAGGTCCCGAAAGTCGATGCAAACCCATATTTGTCCTTTCATCTTATGGCAGGTACGATGTTTGAGAGCCATGCAGGGTAGGTAAAATTTCTAGTAAAGTTTGTCTCGATGAGCTTTATGGTCTAACCAGTGACCATTTGCTCTATTTCAGGTTGCATCCTTCAAGTGTTTGTTTCAGGTGTTTGTTTAACAAGAACCACATTCAAATCAAAGGATAAATGATGTGCAACTACCTCTGGAGCTAAACCGGGCATCTCGGCATTACTCCAAGCAATACAGCCGTGAAACTCTTTCACGATTTCCACAATCTTAACTGTCATAGAATCTAATCAGAGCTTGCTAATATAAGTCGAACAAGGATCATCAATTGTACCGAGGTTGATCTCGGTTTCTCTCTACCATGGGGGCGGATTTGACATTGTCTGGTTATAGATTGTCGTAGGCTTTTAATGCAAGTGGATCACCCTCCTTCCACTATTGTTTGGAGGTCCCCCTTGAGGGGGGTTAGAGTGTTCCTTGTCGTGTTTGTCTCTTCTCTTGAAATTGAGGCCGCCCTAAGTACTTCTACCAACTATCTTGACATATGGTTTGTGAACTGAGTTCTTAAATATTGTAGGCCTTGTTGAACGAACTCGTTCATAAACTCCCGGTGTATGCTGCTTCTTCTTTGTTCCTCTGACTGGACTCTCCCTGTTGCTGTTACTGGGCTCCTCTTCTTGTTGATGACATATTTCTACACTCATCGCACCTTAAATGATGTTAAATCCAAAAATGTCAGGGAAACACACCCAAAGGAATAGAACGTTCTGCTTAGAAGTGATGAGAGAGAGAGAGAGAACACGGTAGGGTACAATAAAAGAGAGTGTCATTTATTCATGACATGGACTCCTTTTTATAGGTCCCCCCCCCCCCCCCCCCCTCATTATTAACTTTTTAGGGTGCTTTTTGGTAATTATAAAGTTATTTGTATATAATAAGACTGGTGATTGATTCGATCGATGAGAGTTGTCGATCGTCTGGTAAGCTTTTATTCGATCGATATATAATACGCTAGAGAGACTCCTGTTGATCGTCTTGAGAACTGATTTTCACCCTACAAAAGATCTTCATTGATCGTTTGGACAAGACATCTCCCCCGACAACATCTAGTTCAAGACGGTCGTCAACAACTATGCCTGATCGTCGGACTTTTGTCGATCGTCATGAGAACTGATTTTTGACCTACAAAAGATCTTCATAGATCGTTTGGACAAGACGTCTCCCCCACCAACATCTAGTTCAAGACGGTCGTCAACAGCTATGCCTGATCGTCGATGTCATCCTCTTGAGCCGTTTATCTGCCTTGAGATTTGTGCTGACATATCTCTATATGCACAAAAATAATCCAAAACATCTTAAAATTCTTACTTTTTATTTATTATTAATTAATATGCCACATATTGAAGAACAACCCCCTTCAACCGGGTCAATGGTTTAAAGAACTTCATACAAGCTTCAGTTGCCGAATAATTACAAATGGAATTCAAAGCTGGACCGTAGCATAGGCTTTCCTTCTCGAGCCAGTAGAACAGCACAAACCAAAAGATGTTGGACCCACCAGCTCACCAGCCCCACACATTGACGTGTCCCCACCCACCACCATTTTTCCGCTAGCAAGGGCCAAACCCGGACAAATAGTCCCACATTGGCTAGGTGTAGGGACTAGCACAAACCAAAAGATGTTGGACCCACTAGCTCACCAGCCCCACCACGTTGACGTGTCCCCGCCCACCACCATTTTTCCGCTGGGCAAGGGCAAACTGCCAAACACCAAACCACGTTCGCCAAACAACCCAAAATCCCACATTGCCTAAATTACCCCCAACCCAAAATACATAAATAAACTTTCCTGCGTTTATTCCCGTCGATTTCGCGATTTGAAACTCCGAAACCCGGCGGCGTTTGAGTGGCACGCGTGAGCGAGGATTGCACTAGACGATTCCAAGCGGTAGCGGTGGCTTATCTCAGACATCAATCAGGAGAATCGGATCCCGCTATAAAATTCATTAAACCCTTCCCTCTTTCTTTCGTCTTCAAAAATTAATTTTTTTTGGAAGAGGAACAGAAAGGAGAAATGGTGGTGGAAAGAGAAGATGAGAGATGGGAGACGCCGAAGTAAATGAGTTGCAGGATTTTGGCCGAGATTTCGTGCCCTCCGCCGCCAAAGAAAAGGTCGTCGGCGACGGTGAAGAGGCGAGATTCGGCGAAGGGAGGTTATTTCCAGTTGCCGGATCTCGAGGCTCTGTTTGCGTTGGTGTTGATGAGTGAAGCTTGCGCTTGGTTTGATAATTATTGGTGGGGGTAGATATGATTTTGTTTGAAGTTTTTCATGTTTTTTTTTTTGTTTATGTTTATAATATGTGTTAGAATGGTTTTGTGGGCTAGTTATGTTGTGTATTGTGGAATTGCGAATGGTGTATATTATTTGGTCATTGATATTATTATTATTATTATTATTTTGCATTTGGATGGTTGATCATGGTGAAGGTTGTCCTTAATTTGTTTTGGGAGACTTGTTGAATTCTTTTTTCTATCGTAATGGATAAAGACGAACGGATTTTTGTGTTCAGTTTAACATCTGGTGCTTTGAGGTGTAGTTTGTGGTTAGTTTGATTTTATTGCATGGACTTGAGAGAAGTTAAAGTAAAAGAGAAAAATTTGATTGTTGTAAGGTGTGTAAGGTGTCAATAATCTTTGTTGCTCAACTTTTCCATCACCCTATTAGTTTTCTTCTTTTTGCCCTCGATTAATTTCTTAAGGAATTGTCAATAAACTGCAATTGTAATTGGTGTGTGTGTGTGTGCGTACTTTTGATGCCACCACCATCATCAATTGTTGCCACTATCCTCATTGTTGATTGCTATGGTTGCCAGCCATCATCTTTGAATTTTAAATTGAATTTATTTTATTTAAAACCAAATAAGAAATACTTTTGTATATTTCTTTAGTTCAATTACATGGCTTTAAAATATTTCAAACATGTAACATTTATTTTGATGTTGTATGTTTTTATACTTTGCATTCCTTTATAGCAAATCAAACACTACTTTGAATTTCAAACATGAATTAAGATTAGTTAACACTAGTCGTGCTCTATATAGATGGTCACCAATCAAATGCACTTTGTGATCCTCTTAAATCAAATTATAGGATCTCACAAACTCTTATCATAGAGTTTTTGAGAATCTAACCTAAAATATAATATAAAAAACAATGTCTTGTAACGACATCCATCATCTTTTGACCAAAATACAGAATTAGCTAGGCTCGTTGAATGTTAGCTCTAAAATGGAAAATAGGTGCAACTAACAAAAAAAAATAATATCAAATAAAACATTTGAGCAACTAAGGTAACCCGATCAATAATTATAACTCCTTCCAATGGTTTTTGTATGTCAAAAAAGTATATTATGATAGCATAAAATAAATAAATAGATATAAATGCTATTTACTAAAATCAATTAAGGAAACTATTATCTAAGGCTTTTTCAAAGCATACTTTCGTTTAATAAACTCTTTAAGAGAATTTTGATGATGTAGCCAATATTTTGATAAACTTGCTTTCATAAAATTTATGGATCTCTTCATCGAAATTAATGGTTTCCAGGACATTGAGTGTTGTTTAGCGACATGAACAAATATTGGATGTGCCAATACAAGTGTGAAAGACACATGAAATGAGGACAAGCACCAAGTAGAAACAATATTTGCATGTGATAAAGGTATTAGGCATAAATTTTTGACTTGATTGGGAGGAAATTGGGTTATTGAATATGTGGTTCGAAAGGAAAATGAAAATGATTTATATAGAGGGAAAAGAGATGGCTTTGATAGGGAAGTTTGTAGATGAGAAAGAAAAGAGATGGGTGTTTATGATGTCCTTAATAGCATTAAAGTATGGAAGCTTGGGAAGTTAAGAGCACTAAAAATTAAAGGAAAAAAAGTGCTAAGGAAGCAAACTTAGAAGTGGGAGAAGATGGCTTCATCTATTGTGCCAAGAAAGGTTGTACATAGGGGAGTAAAATAGCGGAACACGAGCGAGCTTAGGCTCAGCTCATGATCAACTCGTTTATATTTCGAGCTCAAAAAGTTTGTTCATATTCGACTCATTTGCTTAGCGAGCCAAACACGAGTTGTTTACAAATAAAAAGTCGTTTCGACAACCCTAATCACGTATCCATAAGATATTAAGAGTTGGAGCAAGATTTAAAAATTATTATTTATATTCAAACATCATTTGAATCTAATTTAATAATTTTT